GGAAGTCCAGCGGGAAACCGCTCACGCGTACCCTGAAAATGACCACCGAGCCAACCGCTGCGTTTTAGAGCCTATTTATTTCGTTAAAAGAACCGGCTGCAGTCCCAGCGAACCACTCCCGCACCTCCCCTTCTGACGACAACTATTAACTGCAACAGCTATATCTTTGGGCGCCCCCTAAGGGCAAGCAGCAAGTGCGACGACCTCTGTGCTGGACGTCGATGCAATCCCTTAATCTTGTCTGTTTTTCCTCCCCAACCCTAGGGCTGGCTGGGTACCTTGCAGGCAGAGTAAACTCCCAGCTTCTCTAGCTTCTTGGCGCGGGGTGCAGAGCGAAGCTGTGCCTTCTTCCCCGCGATACGAGCCGAGCCGAGCCCCCCGCCGCCGCTGCTACTACTACCACCTCCACTGCCTCCTCCTGCAGGGCTTTCAGCAGTAGCAGCTGCGGCAGCAGCGATAACAGCTCGGGCGGGACCACAAGCAGGCAACCCTCCAGCGGCTGGGGAACCCTGCTGCAGTGCTCCGGCCCCGCCGCCGTTGCCCCCAAGGCTTGCTCCTGCTGCCGCTGCCGCGGTAGCTCCAAGCCCGGCCGCGCCAGCCTCAGACATGCCGCAGCAGCGCGGGCGGCGGGAGGCTCGGCTCTGTTGTGACCGACGCCAGCCCTGCTCCGTGCCCGGTTCAGCGCGCCCGTCGAGCGCTCTGGACCCTCCCCTTTCCCCGCTTTGCAGCCGCCGGCTGCTCCCAAGGAGGGAGGGGACAGGCCGCACCGCGGGCGGGTCCTGCTGGGGAAGGGAAGAGAAGGCGGAGGCGAGGCGCCTGTTAAGGAAACAGTAAAGGCAGAGAGACGGACATGTTCTTGGAGCTTGGCGCGGTAGTCCCTCTTGGCGAAAAGATCCCGTTGCAGACACTGCCTGGGCCTCCCTCGTTTAGGTGCCAAACAGTGGCGCCTCCAACAACTGTTCTCCCTTAGTAGCATATTCACGGCCATGTAATCTTCGAGAATCCATTTTTGCGCCCCAGGACGGTCATCGTACTTCTCTGTGCCCTGCGCGCGGCGCCCGTGCCCAAAAATCGTCTTACGTAGGACAGGGCTAGAATGGCATGGTGGAATGGAGTGGGTCTGGTTGGCGAAAGCCCGTTACAGAATCCAGGCTTCTTCAATTTGTCAGGAAATAAGTCTCCTGGAATCGTGAAGACAAGGACTATAGATGTGTCGTGAGATAACCAGCTTATGCCGCAATAAGTCTCCGGCACTCTACCATGTCACAGAGCTCGTGAGCGCGGGCGCGCGCACGGATGTTTGCTGTGTAAAAACTACCACTCGGAGGCGAAAGTGAGAAGTTCCCTCGGTACGTGCCACTTCCTCAAAAGGTAGAGAAAGGAGCGATCCTGGCCCGCAGCTCTGGAGCGCTGGACTGAGGCCCTCGGGTGATAACAGCTGCCTCGGGCCGGTTTCCACCCTTGGGCGCCCGCCAAGTACTGTAATGGTGACAGCCAAACATGCGCTCCCGCCTACATAAGTTACCTCGCGGCCTCACCCTTGCTTCCAAAAGCACAGAACAATGTCTTTAGGATAAAAGGAAGCTCATAGTTCGATCATTCCTTCATACATTAATTTCTGAAAAAGTTGGGTTAGAAAACGAGCTCACAGACCTGTTGAAGGTAAATGCTGAAGAGGCACCCGGGAGAGGCTTCAACAGCCATTGACTTGGTTAAAGAAGTTAAAATAGTTAAAATCGCAGGAAGGGAAAAGTGGTAGCCTTCTTCCCGACCAATTTTTTTTAAATCTTGAGAAAAAGAGCTTAGATGTATGTTGGAGAAAACCAGCTGTCTAGCTAACAAATTTAGCCATTCACTGAAATGATTTTCTGGAGGAGATGGCATTAAGATGACAACTAAACCAAAGCAACTCTTGTTGACTATTTCACTGACTTTTTGCTTCATTATTTTCTATTGCCCCTTCTCCCTCCCAGTAATATATATTCTCCTCAAATGATAACCCATGCAGAAATAAATTGGTCCATGTTGATTTATCTCAAAACAGTCTTCAGACCAGGTCCAAGGCTTTGCAATAGTTGAAAACTGACCTAGAGTACAGTGGCCTTTTAATTCGTTTTAGAATAGGAGGGTTGCATGTTTTTTTTTTAAATTAGATGTTTAGTTGTTCAGGTTCATGCTTCTATATTCATTTCTGTATTATGTTTCATGCTTATTTTACATGTAGAACTTTAATAAAGTTTACATTAAAAAAGAACAGGACCATAGCAAAAAGCATGTCTCTTGCTGTTTATTTATTTAAAGATTTCTATACCATATTTAACACTTAAAGGCAATTACTTATAAATACTATTGAAAATTCTTTCCATATGAGACCAAACGATTTTGATACTTATCAAATTACTTACAAAAAATAATCCTAAATGATGATGCAACTTAAAAGCTCTTTTTTGGGGTTGTTATCTACTTGATCTCAAATAACAAGAGACAGTTTGCTGCCAGAGCAAACATTCCTAAAAGTGAATTTCAGCCCTTTCAATTGCATGTTAAGGCACTGAGCTACAAATCAGGAGATTGTAATTCTAGTCCAGCCTTAGGCATAAAACCAGCTGGATCACTTTAGGCCAGTAATTCATTCTCAGGCCTTGCAAAAAGAAAGCTAGGGTAAACCAAAAATCTTGTTAACAAAACTTTAAGGATTAGTTCAGCCAGTCACTAGGAGTTGAGAATGATTCAAAGGCAACCAGTTTAACCCTTTGTGTAATCAGTTCAAAAAGGACCCTTTAACCATACATTGTGTTGTTATATCTACAGAGGGCTTTGCTGTGATCTAATATAAAATACCTAGTGTGACTACAAACCTTAATCTTATTCATGTTTGCATCTTTTTGTCACCTTTTTTTGAAACACAGGATCAATAAACTCTAAGCAGCTAACATAATGCTTAATTTCCCCACACAATAATTGAGAAAGTCTGTGTCTGTGTCTCTGTGTGTTTTCAAGTCCTTACTGTATTGAATCCTGGCAAATACCTGGACAGAAAGTGAGAGGCTCAAATCATTTACTAAACACCATGATTGAACAGGGACTTGAACCCTCAGTCTTTCCAGCCTAAATCCAACATTTAATCAGTACATCTGGCAGTTGTAAGCAATTTCACATCCCACTAATGGCAATAAATCTTGAAGACTGGTTTAAACTGGATGTAACACAAATATTAACACAAATATTCCTTAATAATGAGCAGATTGCTGCAATATGCTGATGTTGAAAATCAGGGAAAATCAAATTTGTGGATGGATTTTATTTCTAAGCTTTCATTTTTTGTGCATTTAGCAGCAGAATCTCTTCATGAAATAATATAGCTTAAGATACTAGCTAATGATACCTACATTGTTCAAATGCTAAGTTTATTTCTTGATTTTGATTTGTCTAAGAGAAACAAAATGCAGAACAAAACAGGAAGCACCAATTTTTGCCTTGCTACATAATACAAATCAGAACAATATCTCAGTGGCTAAGGATACCGTTACTATAGTAATAATTGTAAACACTGGACTTAACTACTAGTCCAGTATTAATGTGAAACTATCAGAGAAAGGAATTCCAAAGAACATTCGGCTTTCTAGAAGCTTAAGGTACTGATTTACAGATTTTCATTGTGGAAAGCATAAATTCAAGAAGGTTGTGATTAGATAGTCAGAGAGGGCTAAAGACTGAACACCCTGTTGAAGAAAGCAAATAGGGATGATTTAACAAAACTAGTTCCATTAGCCAGGCCGCTGCATGTCTAAAGACACATTCCAGTTACAATGGACAAACAAATCAGAAATAAAGAGTAGATTTCAATAGCTTTATTTTTAAAAATATTTTGCAGTAACATTGAACTACATCACCGTTTATTCTTAGGGATATCAAGATTGAAATCCAAATCACTTAAAAGGATTTAGTTGGGCTTCTAAATATGCATTACATGCACATTATCACAAATAGGCCTCAGATATGATGTTGAAACTAGCTCATATTATATAATGGAACTGAAATACATCTTATTTGATGTAGCAATCTTCATTTGATTCTCAACTTGCCTTGAAGATGAAGGGATGCTTTGGGACACTCACACTGGCTTCTGTGCAGAATTTGTAAACTTGATTACCCCCCCCCCCTGCCACCATATCTGAGCTATAAATCCACATAATTTTCTATCTTCTAAAATTCCTCTTTGGTAACTATTTTAACCTGCAGCAAAAATATAAAGAATAAAATAATTTTAGCCAATGTTCACCAAGAAGTTCTAGTCCAATGCATTTTATTTGGTTCTTAAACTGCCCCATAATGCTTTTTATGTTTTTAAATGCATCTTAAATATAATATATTCTACTTAATAACGCCTATCTTATATCAATATTTTGTCTTCTGCCTATTGAGTTTTCATGTTTTCCTTATTTTCTCCAGTATGACAGTGTTTAATCAGCTAAATTAAATGCTTTAAAAATTATTTAACCAAATTTCTTTCTATTCAATTTAAAATATAATTCAATTATTTTGACAACTACAAAGGGCCAGTGCAATTTAAAAGTCTCGCCATCTTACTTATACAGAATTAAAGCAACAAATCCTCCAACATATATAATTAAGTATATGAGAATAAGTGTTTGTACAGCTGTTTTTAAGGGGTAATTTGCTGTGTTCTGCTAGGTACCCTATTCCACAACAATTCATATATACTTTATCTCCATGTCAAGCCACATAGCCTTTTTCAATAATAATAACAATAATAATAATAATAATAATAACAACAACAACAACAACAACAACAANCTCAGCTAAAGATTTAATATTCTTTTTTTCCTTTCATGGATCAACATGGCATATGGAGAGCAGAAGAGCCAATAATTGTTTTTGGGAGTTGATGGTAAGATGAATTGATGTAAAGATTTAATAATACAATACAATGTTGGCTATGTAATACTATACATGTGGTTATATGTTATGAAAATGAAAAAATAAAAAACTTTATATATAAATAAACCCACCAAAAACTGTTAAAAATATTGCAAATTGTAGTCATAAATGAGAGCCTGTTTGCCGAATGCCCAAAATGCAATCATACGACCATGGCAGGCGAACAATACTCAAAATTATGAGACCAGGTTGTAATTAGTTTTTTTTAAGTAGATCCTAACTTCGAACGGTCATTAAATGACCAATCATAAGTTGAAAACTGCCTGTAATTTAATATTTCCATAAGATGTTGGGTTATCTGTACCTTTGGGAATATATACCAATCCATATGACTAACTTGCAGCCATATAACCTTTTGTATTTTTATAAATCGCAATTATGTTTCAAGAAACAGGAAAGCAAGTAAACAATTACTAAGTCAATAGATGTCCATATAAATTAAAGAAATAATTGTAACAACACTTTTGGAAGAGTGAAATGCAAGTGAATTACTGAAAAATGTAGTTGACAATGGAAATTAGACACACAGTTCTTGATAACATGAATTTATGCTGATATAGTGTATGCTGTTATATGAGGAACTTAGTACTCCAAAAACTGGGTTCTGATAAAAACACAACTCTAAAGGAACTTTAAATTTTAGCCTGAACTGTGATTCCAGCATTTCCTCCAGGTTATCACCACAATTCAGGACTAAATCCTGTTTTTCAATCCTAGTTTAAAAGAAGCAGTTAAATTGCATTTCCTGGTTAGGATGTCACAAATATGTAGAAGTTGGAAGAAACAAAAAGTACAAAGTACTTGAACTCACTGCTCATTCATGCTCCAATGAACTGAGGGTTTGTTGTTTTTTGTGAAAGCAATATGTTTCAACAAGTTAAAAAGTACAAGTCTTCAATAGTTATCAAATATTTTGTATCCATTGCTTCAGCTTCTAAAGAGTTAAATGGAACTTTATAACCTGCCTGACTTGTTCTCTGCCTAAAAGAAAAAAACCCTATGCAATGCACATATTTTATTTGGCATGAAACCAAAATAAAACAATACATTTTTTTTCCTCAACCAGCAATACTTTAACATTTTATGTTCTACCATAGATCCACAGTATTTTAGCAGAAATGAAATGTGTACTGTGAAAGGAACTCTGCTAGTGCAATTAGCAGAATTCTATGAGATTCAGGATTGGAAAGCATAACTTCTTGTTTATATTAACTGCATGGCTTCCAATACCATGCAGACAAAAAAATATGAGAATCCTGTCTATGTTCCATAGCTGGTTTTCACTCAGCACTATGGTTATCTTAAGCTTATTTATACAAGTAATCCTCTTTTATTAACCACAATTAGAACTGGCAACTTGGTACCTAAGTGACAAGATGAAAATCACAAGACCATGTCTGTGTTTACAATTTTACTTCAGCTTTCCTTCGCTCTAGAGCAGGAACGTCAAACTCGATCCCGTCGCGGACCACATAAAGTGTTTGTTTGCCCTTGGGGGGCCGGGGTAGGCATGGCCTGGTCATTGCGGCTGACTGGGCATGTCCAGGCCCTGGGAGGCAGGGGCCGGGCCCTTGCCGTCTCTGGGACAGCCCTGCGGGCCAATGCCACAGGCTATTGCGGGGTACATCCGGCCCGCAAGCCGCATGTTTGACACATCTGCTCTACAGCATCAGGATATAATTCCAAACAGCTGGATGTGCCCAAATGGTGGGGAAGATTTCTGGGACTGAACTTGGAGGGAGCTGAGGAAAAGGGCAAATCTTATAACACCTTTTCTCTACTCCCTTGTCCTTTGGAATATTCTCCTCATCCCTGGGATAATTAGCAAGAAGAGGTACTTTTTTATCACCTCTGGAACTTTGAACAGTCATTGCCTAAGGCAGTCGCTAATCAAGGTCTTCCTATAGATGGGAATTTTGAGCTATTACCTCGGAGTGGGTTTCTACTGAATTCAACACAATTTATTTCTAAATCAAAATATTTAGGATTATATTATTAAAAAAAATGAGTTCCTACCTGATGCCAAGCCAGTTAGTGTCACAACCAGCCATCCTGACCATGCATCATACAAACTCTCTGTCATTTCCCATGCTGATTCTTTTTTCTTGCTATTGATCTAGATACAATATATAGTTTAGATTAATACAAATCTTAATTTTATTAACAAAGTAGGATACAGTAGGATACAGTACAGTATGACAATTCAGCCCCAAATTTCTGTTACTAAGCAAGACAGGTAAGTAGGTTTTGCCCCATTTTATGACCTTTCTTGCCATAGTTAAGTGAATCACTACAGTTGTTGTTAGCAACATAGCTGCTAAGTGAATCTAGCTTCCCAATTCATTTTGCTTGTCAGGTCACAAAAGATGATCATGTGATCTTGGGACATTCAACTGTCACAAATACATGCCAGTTGCCAAGCATCTGAAATTTGACCATTTGACCATAGGGATACTGCAACAGTCGTTAAGTAAGAAAAACGGTCATAAATCATTTTTTTCAGTGCCACTGTAACTTTAAATGATCACTAGATGAATGGTTGTAAGGTGAGCACTAGCTACACTTGTTCTCTTGTTAAACTCAAGAGAGGCAGAGAACAGTGAAAGCAATGATAAGCTTCTTATGGATGGATGGATGACCAATATCTTGATTCAGAAGGTGGGCAAATGCTTATTTTTTCAGATGAAAGTATAAGGCAAACACTAAATAGAAACGTCCAAGCATTTAAATTGATTGTTTAAGTATGCCATATTAATATGAGAAACAACAAGATATAAGAACAACACTTTCCCCCCACAAATGAGTGTTTACCTATCTCTTGGAATCAAAAATCATTGGCCACCAGCAGCATGCTATTCATGGCTCTCCTTCCCCATTGGGCCCGCTGGTCTTTCTTCCTTCAGTTTATAAAAGCATCAAGAAAAGTACATTTAAGTATTTTAAATACCCTTCTGTGTCTCTCTCTGTCTTTGCATTTTTCTCGCACCCAATCAATTGTGTGGAAATCATCATAGGTTCCAACTCCAGGAATGGGCTCTTCAAGGAGATCCAATAAATGTGTTGTACTGTTAATACTGCCTCCATTTGTCATTGTATAATGAGTTCCTGCAGCTGAAACAGAATAAACAGTGTCTTAGGTCTGTAAAAAGGAAAATATATAATTTAGCAGCAAAAGGAAATGGGAAAGAAAAGTAAATACACAGACACACATTACATACAAAGTACAAAGAAAAAAAATGGAAAATGTTGCCTGATGAATTGAAGAGGTGGCAGTGTCTTGCAGTGGAACAAATGGGATGCTGCAAACCTCCCTCGGGCTTCCCTTCCATGCAATCAAAATAGCTGTATTAGAGGATGTGTTATATTTTTTAGTTCAAAATACCACTTTCCTGCCAGATTACTTTGATTCAGCATCAGCCTGCCTCAGTTACACTGAAAAGGAAGCTCCATTTTAAGGATATATCAAAGGGATAAGCAAGCTTTTTTGGATGTTATATGGAGAAGTCTTCATTCTTTCGAAGTTATATAAAATACACTTAGTTTATATAACTTCAAAAGAATGAAGACTTCTCCATATAGATTGTATGATTCAATATATTGAAAGATTAATTGAAAATCTATGAGCCATGAAGAATCAAATACTGTATATTACTACTTTTACTTTTCTTTTTGCAATAACATTTTCAAAAAATAAAAGACAGACACTGCAAAGATGGCATTCTACAGGGCACAAAATATTCCTAAGATTCTGGAGGGCAAAGGCAGTGCCATATAGTGACTTGCCTTTCAAATATAAGTCAGGATTTTACCCTGAAATACTGTAGAGTGGAGGCTGCAGTTGCTGTCTTATTACCAGTGCTGAACAAAGAGAAAGCCACCACTCTAGTTAGTTTCTGTTAGGGAAAGGAGGCCATTTTCCCCATTCTGCATCAAGCAGCAAAATATATTGAAGTAGCTTTAGTTAGGATAGGTCAATCTAGCAATCTAAAAAGCATTTAAATAGTAAAAGTGTCATGCTGACATAAACAATTTAATAATCTCATTTTTTTAAAAAAAATAGACACCAAGAAGCAATCTATATAGAAGATAAATATACAAGTATTTATCAAATCATCATTTAAATGTACGGATCCCCTTAAACTGCATTTTAACAGTATTACAGAAGGCATCTAGAAATTATGAAAAGGAATAAGACAAAGTCAAGAACAGAGCACTGTATGAAATTGAAGGATCTATAGAAAATATTGACATTGCAAACAGAAGGCAAATATACAGTATGATTAATATCCATAAAAAAGCCACTTGGGAGATCATCATGACTCAAAGTCCTATCCAACAGTAATCCTATCCAAAGTCCTATCCAACAACAGTAATCAAAAATGACAAGACAATTTACTGCCACTCTGAGGGAGGAAATAAAACTGTGCATATCCTTTAAAACAAGCATAAAATAAATTATGGAGATGGGAGTAGTTTATAGTTTCATATCCAAAATAAAAGAAACTCAATCACGTAAATTGGAAAAAAATCTGAATTGAATTGAATACTTTATTTGGCCATGTAATTAGACACATAAGGAATTTATCTCTGGTGCAGAATCTCTCAGTGTACAGTATATGCTAAACAACAGAATAATGATAGCCATAATAATGCCAATAAAAGGGGGTAGTAATGAAAATAATGAGAGACCAAATGCTAAGCATACTATAGCCATACTACGTGGGCAAATACACATAGACATTAAACAGCACTGTGAGCATTGATCTAATACCATTCCATCTATTTTCCAGATTTTCATCAAAGAAAATTTTCACATAATTACCTTCCTTGCACAATTATGTTTTTAGCAATCCGGGAAAGCAATCGTCTGAAGAAATGGTCTGAAAGTGTCCTTGGTAATAAGTGGCTCATCAAAATAGGTCACACACTACAAGAGTATTAGCTAACAAGTTTCAAGTAACATGTTTCAAAACAAGAGCAGAGAAACTTTCAGAACACAAGCTGTGTGAATGAATGACTACTTTAAAGCAGTCTCCCCCCAAATCAAACGTGTCTTCTAACAATTTTCTTAATTCCCACTGAGTGGAAACAGCAACTCTACCGACACGTTATATTGTGATTCTACGTTGACTCTATTTTCCAACATGTTTAGTTAAATTCATAATTTTAGCTCTATGACCCAGTTACAATTCAAAACTAATCAGCTATCGTAGTTTCTTCTTGGAAAAAATATTGATTAAAAAATTATAAATCATATAAAGTCATTTAAACATATACAATCTAACATTTCAATGTTCCAGAAACCAAATCTATTTCTTTCAAATAAATATGAATTAATACCATCAAATTCCAATATGGAATGGCTTTATTTCTCCTTCTTATGGCTATGAATTCCTTGATTTCTTATAATTAGACATTTTTAAAATAAATACAATACAAATTAATAGCAAACCCATTATTTCTCAACTAAACAGCTTATTAATAATAAGAACCAAAAAAGTGTAGTGGTTAACAGCACTAAATTAGGATCATGGAGGCCAAGATTCAAACCTCCAATTTGTCCTGAAGTTCAACGAGTGACTTTAGGGGAGACAAATATGTTTTCTGTCTACAAACATACATAGCAGGGGTGTCAAACTTGCATTGTCACGTCATCACATGACATATCACAATTTTTTCCCCTTTGCTAAAATGGGGGTGAGTGTGGTCAGCACATGATGCATACAGCCCTGCAGGCCGTGAGTTTGACACCCTTGATATATAGATAGTCCTTGATTTACAACCATAATTGGGATCAGGGAGTGGTTGAGTTGTGCCTGATTTTTCAATTTTTTTTGTCATGGTTAAATAAATCATTACAGTTAAGTGAATCATGATTGTCTCAATAACTGCAATGATTCACTTAACAACTGCAATCCGGCTTCCCCCATTTACTTTGCTTTCCAGAAGCCAGCTGGGAACATTGCAAATGGCAATTACATGACCACAGGACACCACAACTGTTATAAATACATACTGATTTCCAAGTACCTGAATTCTGATCACATACAGTGGGGAAGCTGCAATAGTTGGCAAATGTGGGTCCCATATCTCAACAACCACTTTTTCCTTCAATATATTTCTGTTTTCCAACTGAATTCATTCTATATTTATTAAGATATACTTGCTACTATAATATAGCAACATATAATATAGATTGCTGAGATATGAGACCTAAAAATATTGTATGTTGTTCCACTAACTAGAAAAGTCAATAGGACTGGTTGTTTTGCTTAATTGGAAGACCTTGGAATAAAATTATGGATATTTATGTTTTGATTGACTGTTATTGTGAGTCACCTAAGATTATTGTGTATTTGATGGGGGGCCTTATCAGTTCCTTAAATCAATCAATCAATCAATCAATCAATCAATCA